AGGTCCAGTGGGGTTTACTGCCTATGAAAACTGAGGACAAACAGAACAGAAACAGTCCCAGGCCCACTTCTCAGAGCTAGGGTAAAAGAGAAGAAGCAGGGGAAGGCAGTCTTTCCTCTTTTCTTTCTTTCTTTTTTTTTTGTGAAGCCATTGGGGTTAAGTGACTTGCCAAGGGCCACACAGCTAATAAGTGTCAAGTGTCTGAGGTCACATTTGAACTCGGGTCCTCCTGACTCTAGGGCCAGTGCTCTATCTACCAGTTCTTCTTTTAATGGTTCTATTCATGGTCTGGTGCTAAGGGGGAACTGTGATCCTTTAGAAAGAGAGTACAGGAAAAAGTAGATAGGAAAGAACAAGTGTCTCATTATCATCAGTTTTAAAGATGCTGTACAGTCAATAAAAGAAGGCTATCCCAACCCATGTGGTAAGGAATGAAAAATGCCTCCATATTGGGACATCTGGGGGTGCCCAGGCAAGACACTGCTTTATTTGTAGGTACTGGAGCCAGATTATGAAGGCTCTAAAATGCTAGCTGAGGGGTCTGCATTTCATTCTAACCATCAGGGAACCACTGAAGGATTTTGAGCAAAGCAATAATGTGGTTAGACATGTTCAAAGGAAGAATGTTATAGCAGTTATATACACCAAGGGTAGCCGTATTTATAGACAATGCTTCCATTTGCTTAAGACTCACCTCCTTAGTGGATATTGATTGACTACTCAATGCTCTGTGCCTGGGTGAGGGGCAGAGTTCAAGGAAAACTTGAGAGAAGAGAGATTCTGGTCTTTCTCTTTCCATAAGGAGACCTCTCCGTGGACAGAATATGGAACCATGTTTGTTTGGTTGTTTGTTTTTTCTTTAGATGATGGAAACCAGAAGACTAGGATCTCTCTTCTCTCAAACTCTTGCAAACTTTACCCATCTCACAGGCACAGAGTATTAAGTAATCAATCTCCACCTGTAAGGAAAATCTCATAAATGATCTTTGATCAGAGACTTACATAAAGCACACTTTTTTTTTTACACAAATATGATACATAAGACGCCAACTAGACCATAGTAAGATTTGAGGAGAAAGAGATCAGTTCTAGCCTGAAGGATCAGAGGAAACTTCATGAATACAAGACCTTTGGATCTTGGAGAAGAGGAGGGATGTCAATAGATGGAAATGGAAGTTCTATTGCAGGTACAGAGCATGACTTATGCAAATATATGGAGGGGAGAGAGCAAAGAGTGGAATAGGAGAACAGTAAATAGTCCAATTTGTCTAGAGAATAGAAAATGGGAAGAGGAGGATGGGAAAATAAGGCTGGAAGGATCTCATGCTCCCTTTCTCTCATACCAGGTGCAAGGATATCTCCTCTTGGCTTCTCCGCCCTTTCTTTCCTCCTCTTCCTCCTCCTCCTCTTCCTCTTTGTCTTCCTCCTCCTCCTCCTCCATCTTCTTCTCCTTCTTCTTCTTCTCCTTCTTCTCCTTCTCCTTCTTCTTCTCCTTCTTCTCCTTCTCCTTCTTCTTCTTCTCCTTCTTCTCCTTCTCCTTCTTCTTCTTCTCCTTCTTCTTCTTCTCCTTCTTCTCCTTCTCCTTCTTCTTCTTCTTCTCCTTCTTCTCCTTCTCCTTCTTCTTCTCCTTCTCCTTCTTCTCCTTCTCCTTCTTCTCTTCTTCTTCTTCTTCTTCTTCTTCTTCTTCTTCTCCTTCTTCTTCTTCTTCTTCTTCTCCTTCTCCTTCTTCTTCTTCTCCTTCTCCTTCTTCTTCTTCTTCTCCTTCTTCTTCTTCTTCTTCTTCTTCTTCTTCTTCTCCTTCTTCTTCTTCTTCTTCTTCTTCTTCTTCTTCTCTTCTTCTTCTTCTTCTTCTTCTTCTTCTTCTTCTTCTTCTTCTTCTTCTTCTTCTCCTTCTTCTGCAATTGGGGTTAAGTGACTTGCCCAGGGTCATCTTTTCTTCTCTTTGAGATCTTTCAGGGTCCCCCTCAGCTTTTGCTCTGACACTCTGCTGGAGCAGACCATTTTCTTTCAGACCAAATAGTAGTTACTGGGGATGAAGGAAACCTGGATTTGGGGAGGAGAAAAGAAGTATGGTCTGGGTTGACCTAGAACCTAGTTCTGCCCTCTTATGGGGGCAAGGTCAGGCTTAGAAGTTCCCCAAAGCATTTTGGGACATCACACTTAAGAGTTCTATTGGAAATGGTTATTTCTGGCCATACAGGCATGTGGACAGTGCCAAAGGTAGTGAAATGCAATGAGTGTTGATCTTGGAGCCAGAGAATGAGAGTTGACATCTTGACTCTGGAATTTACTGGGTGTTTGACTTTGGGCAAGTCCCTTGCTGATTCTGAGTCTCACATGCCTCACGTGTATGTGCTATCTACCTCCCAGGGTTGTTGTGAAGACCAGATGAGATAATGCATGTAAGGAGATTAGTAAACTTTAAAGTGCTACAAAAAGCCATTATCACTGAATATAAAGATGAGTAGGGCAACGGGTGGTCAGGAAGAAGGAGAGAACAGTATAGGTTACAATGGCCCAGGAAGGCTGCCTGTGGACTACAGGGCAAGATGATTTATAGTATGTCTGAACTAGAAGGGATTTTAGAGGCCATAGAGCTCAATCTTGCATTTAATTCAGGGTCATCCCCCATAATACGTTTGACAAGTAGTTATTGAATTCAACAAATAGTTATTAAGCAACTCTAATATGCAAAGTACTATTCTATGTGATGGAAAAGAAGACAAAATCAAGGAATTTGAAGCAAGAATAAGAGGACACAGATGTTTCTACTACCTTATTTATTTTTTTTTTTGCAAAGCAATCAGGGTTAAATGACTTGCCCAGGGGTCACATAGGTAGGGTCAAGTGTCTGAATCTGGATTTGAACTCAGGTCTTCTCGACTCCAGGGCTAGTGCTCTATTAACCTCACTACATAGCTGCCCCACAATTAACTTACGATATGATAATCACGTGGGTTAAGTCAGAGTGTGAGAAATTCCAGAAAGAAGGAATATCTTCCAGTCATTTTGAATGTGTGTGATAGAATCTGGGGACTGCCTAGTTGAAAGACAAAATCACTATGCCTGAGAGACTGTGACAGGATCTAAATCAAAAGTAGGAATCTTAAACCCAAGGCAAATTCAATTGGGGGGTGGGTAGAAAATATATTTAGATAGTCTATGGGGGCAGGGAGGTGGCACAGTAGATAGAGCACCAGCCCTGAAGTCAGGAGGTCCTGAATTCAAATCCGACCTCAGACACATAATGCTTGTGTGACTTTGGGCAAGTCACTTAACCCCAATTGCCTCACCAAAAAAAGAAAGAAAAAGATAGTCTACCCCGTAAGCTGTTGTGCCCCATGCTATGAAAGAATAGTACCTAGAACACCAGTTCCTAGGAGGATGGGGTGGCAATGGGGTGGGGAGAGGGGATAGCTTGTAGATAGGAGTGCCTTGGGAGTATAAGCCCAGGGAGAAGGGTCCTAGAACAGTAGGATCCTTGGGAGCATTCATGAAGGCCTAGACCCAGGTGAGGGAGGGAGGCCAAGCTGGAGGACTGCCACAGGGACTAATCATGCCTCTAGAAGTCCATTCCCCAGACAAAACCCACATGTCTCTATCCTAGTTACAGCTCTGTCTGGGCTCTTTTGCCAGGCTACAACTGGCCATACATTCACAGGCATTCATTCACTTGATGCTGCTGAAGAAAAGGCAGTACATGCAGAGACTCCTTGGTGTTTGAGTTCACTCTCTATAGAGGTGAAAGTGAGGGGATGTGTGAAAACTTGAGAGTTCTGCTGACTGTGTGCCTATTAAGTCTAGAGTAAGGAGAGGGAGTCTCTAATTAAGAGCATTAGAAATGAGAAAATACTAGGGCAAGTGAGAGGCTTGCCACCCTTACCTGTACGAGGAGCCCTGACAGTCTGAGAGGCTCTGAGTCCTAGTGTGATATTGCTTTGGGGGAATTGGGAGGAGAAAACTAGGTCTGATTTCACTTCTTGCTAGTAAAATTCTTTCTTTTTCAAAGGGAAGAGTCTTCCTTCCTCCTCTCCCCATATATATTACTGATGGTTTCCTCAAGAATCACTGGACTGGGTTCTGTAAAGTCAATTGAGTCTGGGTGATGGAGTCAACTTTCACTCTGCCTTCTCCACCATAAGCCTCATCCAGTCAGTTGCCAAATCTGGTCAGTTCTACCTCCTGGCCTGTCCACTTCACCTTTCCCATCCAACCCCTCTTTTCCATTCCTATAACCACCAGGCCAGAGCTAGCCCTCATCACCTTTCACCTATTGCAATAGCCTCCTGACTGGTCCCCCTGTGTCTAATCGCTCCCTTCTCCACTCCATCCCAGACACAGCTACCTAACAAAATTATCTTCCTAATGAAAACATGATCTTTTCACTCCCCTGCTAAGAACAAACAAAAAACCTTCAGGGACACCCTATTGTCCATAGGATAAATTACAAACTCCTGGGGAAGGCTTGCTATTTAAGACCTCCTTGGCCCCTTTCTACCTACAACACTTAACGAACTACACTCCTTAATGCTCTAAATATTTTGCTGGCAGACTAGATTTCTGGCTATTCCATAGCCTTCTCTTGACCTGCCCAAAGAGAGTTCCCTGTGCCTGGAATGTATCCCTTCTCCTGTCTGCCTGCTGAAAGCCTTCTCTTCCTCCAAGGCCTAGCTGAGACACCACTTCTTCCAGGAAGCCTTCACAAGTCCATTGCTGCCCCTCCCCAAGGCCTAACTAGAAAGTGATCTCTGTCTCTCAGTTTTCCTAGACCACTTTGTCTAGACGTTGCCTGTTCCCAACACACAGTCACATGGTACATTGTGTGCTTACATATCTGCTTCCTCTCCTATCCCTCCTAGATCATAAACTCCTTAAGGGAGAGACTATGGGTGGCTGTTTTCATCCTTTTATGTGCAGTCTAAGAGTGCATGATAAGTACTTACATGTTCAGCCAGAAATGAGCTGAATGGAGGAGAAGTCTGAGAAAACATGGAGGCAGAGAGAATAAAACTGGAGTTTATTAATCTGAGGAGCACAAGGCCGAGCGCAGGGCCTTAAACAGAAACTGAGGCTCAGTCTCAGAAAGGAATTGAAAAGACCAGTGGGACCTCAAATGGAAGTTTCTTTAATCTTTTTTTAATGCTCTTTCTCAGTTTCTTGATTCTTTTCCGGATGCTACGGAAAAATTTACGTCTCTTGGTCTTTTCAGGCTGCAGAGGGAGAGAAACAGATGTTCTTAGTCCAGGGCCTCTGGGGGTCAGGCTGAGGATGAAAGAAAAACCTGCCCACCAGGGAATGGAGTAACTTAGAGCATCATGAGACTCAGAACTCATAGAGCCTTCCACAGTGTCTGGTGCAACCTCCCCCTTAGAAAGGAGGAAACTCAAGACAGATGGTGGTGCAGCCGGCAGACCCAGGCCTCAAGCCCAAATCTTCAGCCTTGCGACTCTAAACCCAGTGCTCCTCCCAGCACACAAAGCTAAAGCCTCAGGGGCTTCTTCATGTTCATTTTGAAAATGATGAAAAATCTTCCCAGGACACCCTCCTCCTGTTTCTGTGCCCAGGAGACATAGAGGACAGTGAGAAATCCTTACTCTACCCCTGAAAACCTTCTACCCTCCAAGAACACCTTGGGACCAGGTCACATTGATTATGCCCCTGGCATGACCACACCTGAAGTGACAGCCCCCTCTTCAGAATGACTGGCAGGAATACTGGATATGCCCCAGCCCACCTGGCCCTAGTTCCCCTAACCCATCTCCTGACTGAGCTCTTGGGGTTACCAGGATAGTTGGACTGAGTCAGAAGACCCGTTTTAATGTGGACATTAGTTAGCTCTATGACTTTGGCAATGTCACTTCACATCTCTGAATCTCAATTTCCTTCTCTGTAAATTGGCACAGGAGGAGTTGGACTAGATGATTTCTAGAATTCCCTCCAGTTCAAAATCCTGGGACTGATTCTTTGAAAACACAGGTCCTAGGCCCTTCCTCTCCCATTAGCCTTCTCTTCTTCCCTCTTGCCCTAGGACTCTGAGGCCAGAGACCTCTCAAGCTCAAAAGCTGGGGTTGGGTGAGGTGGATGGGGGAGAGAAATGCTCCTGCCTCTGTATCTACAGCCCTTCCTGGAACCTGGAAGAAGAAAAGGGAGCCTAGGCTGAGGCTAAGGTTGGAGAGGGCAGCATGGTCAAAGTTGGTCCCAAGCCCCTCCAGCTGCAGATCAGTCCCAGCAGCCCCCAAGACAGAAGGCACCATAGATCCCTAGTGGACTCTGCAGGTTTGGGCTCTTCTCCCAGCCCCCACTGAGGATTCAGCACTTACCCCATCACAGGAAATATTAGCAGAGGGCTTAGGAGAATCCAGGGCAATGGCTCCAAGACATTCTTTCACCACCTGTGAAGGGTTGCAGAGAGAGTTCAGGACTGCCAGTCTGCAACCTCTGCCCCTGACATGCCAGGACTGACAATAGGCTCAAGCTTTTCCCCAAGCCAGCCCACTGGGAGGGTTTTCTGCCGCTCATCTTGGGGGATTCACTTTGTTCAGGGCAGCAGGAAGCAGAGCTCAGCACCCTCCCTGCTCCAAGGTGGCAATGTCCCCAGAAAGAGACTCATTCAGTCAGTCTCCCTCCCCAGCCCAGGATGCTCTTCTTACCCCATTTTCCTTGAAGTCACATTCATCTGGATCGCGATTTTCAGTATTGGGGCACACGGTCTCTCTGATGGTGAAGCTCAGAAGTGGAGGAGCAGCAGGATCATTGTTCTGGGGAGGAAGGAAGCACAGCCTTTTAGATCTAGGCTACTCTGGGCAAGTCACTTAACCCCAATTGCCTCACCAAAAAAAAAAAAATAGATATAAGCCACATCTGAGCCCCTGTGGGCAGGAGCAAGCTATTTAGTGTTGGAATGGACCTTAGACAGCATCTAGTCTGACCCCCTAGATGAGGAAACTAGGAACAAGAAAAGTTAGGTGGTTTCCCAAGGTCACACTGGTTGCAGCATCAGAACTGGGGGCATCCAGAAGTCATTCATCCAAACGGTATCTACTGAATGTATTTTGGTGTCCACCTGTGCTCAGCTTCCACATTCCCTGTGCTCAGGGGACACCTCCGGCTAGTTGGGAGAGAAAAACTCTCAAATAGAAAATATCTTATGGGTTAGCATTGTTCCCATGACATGGCAAGGGATTCAATCAGTCAATAAGCAATTATTGAGCACCCACTATGTGCCAGGCACTGTGCTAAGTACTAAGGATCCAAAAAGGAGCACAAGACAGCTCCTGCCCTCAAGGAGCTGACAATCTAATGGGAGGGAAACATCATGCAAACAAAAATATACAAAGCAAGCTATGTGCAGGATAAATAGGAAATCACTAAAAGAAGGAAAGCCCTGGATTCAGAAATGCCTTTTCATTCATTCATTCTTTCATTTGGTCATTCCCTCATTCCCCGTTCTGTTACTTGTTGCTATTTACCCTTCATTTCTCTGGACCAAGATTTCCTACTTTGTAAACTGAAGGTGTTTAACTCAGTGACATCTAAGGTTCGTTCTGACTTGACAGCCTATGATCCTGTACAGGGCTGTAGGCTATGTGGAGAGAGATAGAGAAATCCCTCCGGCCTGGTGTCACTGATGGGGAGCTTGAGCTCTCCTCTGAGGTGGGAGCAGGATTGGAAAGTCAGAGGGAAGGGGAAGGGAATTCAAGGCGGGGGAGTCCTCACAAGGATACTGAAAGACAGACCTGGCATGGATTATCATCCTCATTTTACAGATGAGAAAACTGAAAGACAGAGAGGGAACATACCTTGCTCAGAGTCAGAAAAATATGTCAGAACTGGAATGAGAACTCAGATCTTCTGACTTCAATAATAATAATAATAGCAAACACATATAGAGTATTATTACATGCCAGGCACTCTCTTATGTGCTTTATAATTATTATTTCTTTAATCCTCCCAACAACCCCATGAGGTAGGTGCTATTATTATCCCCACATCATAGTAAAGGAAACTGAGGCAAACAGAGGTTAAATGACTTGCCCAGTCACCCAGTTAGTAAGTGCCTGAGAATGCATTTAAACTTAGATCTCCCTGACTTTCAGGGTCACTGCTCTATCCACTCTGCGAACTAGCTGTCCCTCTCTTCCTACTATATCACAATATCTCCCAGCAATGAGACCATGGTTTTCTGGAGGGAAGGATTCATATTAGGGAATCTTGGCATGTGGAGGCCTCCCCTGCCATCCCAATGCTACTCACTTCCCCAGATTGCAGATTCAGGATTGAGAGTCGAAATAGGTTTTCTGATCCAGACTTCGTGTTGTATTCCTGAATGAATCTATTCACCAAATCTTGGTACCTCTGGTCCTGGGCACAGGTAAGTGGAGTCATCAGGCTGAGCAGCCCCAGCACCAACAGGGCTACCTGCACGGTCCAGCCCCTCTGCATCCTCATCCTCTTGGCCCTCAATGCTGTGGGCAAGAAGGAGGTATCCTTTATTCACTGGCTCCTCCCCAGCCTTACACAAGGGCAAGGGATTCCTCCAGCCATTGGATTTCAACAGTTCCCTGAGGTCTGTGGTTTCCCTCATTCTTTTGTCATTGGTCACCTCTTGTCCCCAGGGCTGGGAGTCCTCTCCTTCAATTTCCTCATCAAGTCCTGGAGTTGACCAAGAGGAAGTGTTGGAGAAAGAGGGGAAGTATGGGGAAAAGATGGAGGAGGAGGGCAGGAAGATGAGGGAGGTCAAAGGATGTGAAGAAATAAATATTTTCCCCATCTCTCTCTGTCTTACAAAGTCCTGGAGGGCCTACAGATGGGTGGATGGTCCAGTCAGCTGGCACATTGGATTGCTTTTCCAATTACTCAAGGAACTTTGCAATAGAGTTAGGGCTGCTTAAACTGACCTTTCTATTCTCCTCTGATTCTTCCCAAAATGCTTAGACCTCAATTCTCCAGAAGCAGAGGGTCCAAGGGTCAATGAGAGATTTCAAGTTCCCTCTATGATTCCTAATTCCTCCTAACAAGGTCTTCACACATAGGCCCCTGCCTCCATCTCATTCAAATCTACAAACCTACATGTAGACAGATCAGCCCTATAGGCTCCCCATCTTACAGAATACTTCAAGCCAGACAGCAGGCTTTTTTCAGCCAGAGGGGGTGACTCTAACCCGGGCCCTGACAGAGGATAAGGATTGTGAGAGGAAGAACTAGAGAAAGAGCATTGCTGGTATGGGGGATTCTTGCACTGTGCAGATCGAAAGAGGTGGAAGATGTAATTCAGCTGAAGAATAGGCCAAGTAAGGGATAGACAGACAGTCAGCAAGACAGTGGGTGGGGAGGAATCAGCAAAGGCCTGATGTAGGAAGTGGTACCTTACAGGGTGCAAAGTAGGGATTCTAAAAGGTGGCTATGAGGAGAGAGATCATTCCAAACATGGTGCGCCTCCTCTGCCAAGGCACAGTGGTGGGAGACGATCTGTGAGATACAGAGAACAGCAAGTAATCCAGTTAGCTTTGTGAAGGGCAGTTAAATGAAATCAGTGCAGAAAAAAGTGGGAGCCGGACTGTGAAAGGCTTTAAATGTCCAACAGAAGTGTTTAGATTTTATCCTAAAGGCAATAGGAAGGCAAGTCAGTGACATGGTGAGACTTATGCTTTAGGAAGATCAATGTGACAGCTATAGGGAGTATAGATTGAAGAAGGGAGACACTGAAGAGAGGAATCCCAATTAAGAGGCTGATGTTAATAAACCAGTTGAAGACAAGCAAAGATGTCAAAAGGAAGAAATGGGGGAGCAGCTACCCTGTAACTTTGGGAGATGGCTTACATAAATGCATGGAGGCAGGACAGAGCAGCATGGGATGGGAGAACATGGAGTAGTCCAATTTCTCTGAAATCAAGAATATGTCACATCCCAAATACTTCCCTCCACATATCTACTCTCCTTTGTAACTAAAAAATACAGCAAAGAAAAATAAATCAACAATTTAGTTGTGTCTATATATGTATGTCTCATTCTGCTCCATTAATACAACAATCCTCAGCCAAGTGCAGAAGAGAATAAGCATTTATTAAGCACCTACTATGTGTGAAGAAGATAGGTAAATATGGCTAATGTACCAGATGGAGGTCAAAGGCCTAGGGATAAAGATGAATTTTTTTTCCCAAGGAGAAACAGGATAAAGATGAATTTTTAAAAAAATATTTGTAGCAACATTTTTAGTAGCAGTAAACAACCAGAAGGACAGCAGGTGTCTATTGATTGGAAGAATCAATAGTCTAGTAATTGAATAAACATATGATTGTGGTGGAATATTATTGTTCTATTAGAAATGACAAATATGGAAATTCAGAGAAACTTTGGAACACTGATACAAACTCATACACAGTGAAGTAATCCAAAGAGTGCATGTTTTGAGACAAACGGTAATTGCTATTGAGCTGGTCCAGGAGACAGAAAGACCTGGGTTCAAGTTCTGCCTTTGACACATAATGTGTCCCTGGACAAAAGCACTTAGTATACTTGGGAATTCGTTAAAAATAAAAATTACAGAGCTCAATCAATCAATCAACATTTATTAAGTGCCTACTACATGCCAGGCACTGTGATAAGCACTGAGGACACAAAAAGGCGCAAAAGACAGTTATAAGCTACATACAGGATAAATACCAAAGGAAGGCACAGGAATGAAGAAAATTGGGGGCAGACTTCCTTTAAAAGAGATCATTCTAGCAAGGACTTAAATGGTATCAGGGAGGTCAGTAATCAAAGAGGAAGAGGAGGTCATTGTCATTGGATTGAAGAGTATGTGTCCTAGGGTGAGGTCTAAGAAGCCTGGAAAGGTAGGAAGGGGCTTAGATGATGAAAGGCTTTGAATGCCAAACAGGGCATTTTATATTTAATTTTAGAGGTAATAGGGAGCCACTGGATTTTATTGAGAAAGTGCTGACCTACACTGGTAGAGGAAGTTCCCCTGGGTAAATTAAATCACAGGACCAGAAAAAAAATTCTGTCAAAACACAAGCTAGTATTATTAATCAAGAGAGAATCCAGTGTCTTCCACAAATAACCTTTAATCAGTGAGTTTTTTTTAATTATATCTTCTTTAAATTTTAACATTCCTTGTTTAAAAATTTAGAGTTCCCAATTCTTTCCATCCATCCCCTCCCCCACTCCTTGAGAAGACAAGCAATATAATATCAATTATACATATGAAGTCATTCAAAACATATATCCATATTAGCCATGTTGCAAAAAAAGCAAGAAAAATAACTACCTGTTCTTATCCTTTGATAATTTATCAATTGGAGAGTGGCTCTTATTTTTAAAAATTCGACTCAGTTCCCTATATATTTGATTAATCAGCTTTTGTTAAGATGGCTTTGTCAATGTGACTTTACATTGTGACCATCAGAGGGTGATCTGTACATAATCACGTAATTTCTGGGCAGCCTTGTGGGTCAAGGTATGCAACTAAAGTTGGGTTCTGCAAGCTCAAGCTGCCTTTAGGCCTAGACCAATATGAAGGAAATTAGGAAATCTGATTTTGACATCCCAGGTGCCTAGACACTTATGTGGCTCTGACCACACCATGTGGTATTTCATCCTGGCCTCCCTTCCCTGGACATTGCCTCCTAGACACCAGTCACTTTATTTTCTGGTCCATACTTTCTTGTTCAATAAAATGAGGGAGCTGAATTAAATGGTCTCTCTTGTCTCATCTACAAAATATAATTTACTTAAAATTAACCTTGGGAGGAAAAACCAAACATGAAATTGTAAAAAAAATTACCTTATATATTTGTTTAAGCTAAAATAGATTTAGAGTCAGGATGCATGGATTCAAACTCTGGCTCAGCTATCCTATGACCTTGGAGAAATCACTTAATTTTCTAGGCCTCAGTTTCCTTTTCTGTAAAATGAAGTCATACTAATTGCTTTCTAAGGTTCCTTACAACTACAAATCCTATGATTTTAAGGTCTAATCCAAACTTCCCTACCCCTGGAATTCCTTGTAAGGAATTGCCTTATATATCAATTCACTAAAGATGTTCATGGTTCAGAATTGTTTTATGTCTGTCCCCTAACATCTACATGTTAATAGAGAACTGTAACTCATAAACCCCAAAGTGTGATAAAAGGTGGGAATTTCAAGCCCTGGGATAGCTGGGTAAAGGAAAATACTGAGGGGAAGGGAGATATCAGACATTTCTTTTTTTAATTAATCAATTTATTTTTCGTTTTCAACATTCACTTCCAGAAGATTTTGAGTTCCAAATTTTCTCCCCATCTTTCCCCTTTTCCTCACCCCAAAATGGTGTGCATTATGAATACCTCCTTCCCTGTTCTGCCTTCCCTTCTATCACCACCCCCCTTCTCTTATCCCCTTCCCCTTCTATTTTTCTGTAGGGCAGGATAGATTTCTATACTCCATTGCCTATATATCTTGTTTCCCAGTTGCACGTAAAAGCAATTTTTACATTTGTTTTTAAAACTTTGGGTTCCAAATTCTCTCCCTTCCTCCCTACCCACCCACCCTCATTTAGAAGGCAAGCAACTCCATACAGGTTGTACATGTGTAATCATGCAAAACACTTTCACAATAGTCCTGTTGTGAAAAAAACTAACTATATTTCCCTTCGTCCTACCCCACCTCCCATTTATTCTAATCTCTCCTTTGATCCTGTCCCTCCTCAAAAATGTTTGCTTCTGATTACCCCCTTCTTCAATCTGCCCTCTTTTCTATCATCCCCCCTCTCTTATCTCCTTCCCCTCTATTTTCCTGTAGAGTAAGATAGATTTCCATACCCTACCGAGTGTGTATGTTATTCCCTCCTTAAGCCAAATCCAATGAGAGTAAGATTCATTCATTCCCTCTCAACTCCTCCTTCTTCCCCTCCACAATAAAAGCTTTTTCTTCTCTTTTGTGTGAGATTATTTACCCATTCTACCTTTCTCTTTCTCCTTCTCCCAGTACAATCCTCTCTCTCACCCCTTAATTTTATTTTTTAGATAGCATTCCCTTTATATTCAACTCACTCTGTGCCCTCTGTCTACGTATATTCCCTCTAACTACCCCAATACTGAGAAAGGTTTCATGAGTTACAAATATCATCTTTCCATGTAGGAATGTAAATAATTCAACTTTAATAAGTCCCTTACGATTTCTCTTTCCTGTTTACCTTTTCATGCTTCTCTTGAGCCTTGTATAAGAAAGTCAAATTTTCTATTCAGCTCTAGTCTTTTCATCAAGAATGTTTGAAAGTCCTCCATTTCAATGAATGTCCATTTTTTTTCCCCTGAAGGATTATATTCAGTTCTGCTGGGTGGGTGATTCTTGGTTTTAATCCTATCTCCTTTGACCTTCAGAATATCATATTCCAAGCCTTCAGATCCCTTAATGTAGAAGTTGCTAAATCTTGTGTTATCCTGATTGTGTTTCCACAATATCTGAATTGTTTCTTTCTGGCTGCTTGCAATATT